TGCCCCCTCAGCAAGTTTGCTGATGATCCTAAACGGGGGGGAGTGGCTGACACACCAGAAGGCTGTGCTGCCATTCAAAGGCACCTGGAGAGGCTGGAGAGCTGGGCGGAGAGGAAGTTCAACATAGGCAAGTGCAGGGTCCTGCACCTGGGGAGAAATAACCCCAGGCACCAGTCCAGGCTGGGGGTTGACCTGCTGGAAAGCAGCTCTGCAGAGAAGGACCTTGGAATCCTGGTGGACAACAAGTTAAACATGAGCCAGAGCAGGGTGCCCTTGTGGCCAAGAAGGCCAATGGTATCCTGGGCTGCATTAGGAAGAGTGTTGCCAGCAGGTGGAGGGAGGTGATCCTCCCCCTCTACTCAGCCCTGGAGAGGCCACATTTGGAGTACTGTGTCCAGTTCTGGACTCCCCAGTACAAGGGAGACACGGCACTACTGGAAAGAGTCCAGCAGAGGGCTACAAAGACGATGAGGGGACTGGAGCATCTCTCCTATGAGGAAAGGCTGAGAGAGCTGGGCCTGTTCAGCCTGGAGAAGAGAAGACTGAGAGGCAATCTCATCAATGTGTACAAGTATCTGAACAGAGGGTGTCAAGACGATGGGACCAGACTCTTCTCTGTGGTGCCCAGCAACGGGACAAGAGGCAACGGGCACAAACTGAAACACAGGAAGTTCCATCTGAACCTGAGGAAAAAATTCTTGACTGTGAGGGTGACAGAGCACTGGATGAGGTTGCCCAGAGAGGTTGTGGAGTCTCCTTCGCTGGAGATATTCAAAACCTGTGTGGATGCAATCCTGGGAAATATGCTCCAGAGGACCCTGCTTGAGCAGGGAGGTTGGACTAGATGATCTCCAGAGGTCCCTTCCAACCTAAACCATTCTGTGATTCTACCAAAACATTATATTGCCTAAAGTAAACAAGTTTCAAATTCTTTCTGCCTGCTCCACTATCTTGTGGTACTTGTCCTTGCACAGAGACAGAACACCGCTTTGGTTTTTAAACCTTTCTATGTTAATGTCTCTTAATACAACCTGCGAGGAGAGGAAGGAATAACCAAGGATATCTTTTTTTGATCATGAGAAGTAGTGTTACAGCTTATCTTGCAGGTATTGGAATTCAAATGCATTTTTTGCTTCAAAATATAACATTTTTGTCCTGAGGGACATGAGGTTGCAAATTTTTTGCAAGGAATGTTGGTAATTCTTAGGGTTTAATTTTAGAACAGAGATATACATCCTCTCCCCCCCATCTATTTCTCTGCTCATACCTGTAATCGTATTTTTGTTGCAAGTAAGACTTTTTAAAAAGCTTGCCCAAATGGTACCATTTTTTTTCATGGGTTGCAAATATTCCTTTGTAGTTGATTCCTTTTAAGAGGAAGGAAAAGTTTCTTGGTTCCACAGAATATTTTGTACCCTTTTTTGTCTTCTGAAGCAACAGCCCTGGTTTGACAGTATTCAGCATCCATTTCAGCACTTCTGAGGGCACGGAGCATGTGAAATACTTTAGTGCCATAGAAGCTGCTTATTAGAAAATAGGCAAAGGGAATGATGTAAAGTTTTCCACCACAGTAAGTAAAAGCAAAGAGACAAATATCATGCAATAGAAAGTCTGTGAGTTAAACACATGTGGCATTACTGAGCATCTACAGTCAAATAAGCGGCCACAAAAGGTTATATTCACTAAAGACACCATCATTTTTAAATACAATTTATCTGAAGTAGAACTCCTAATGACTAAAGATAATAGGTTGTCATAAACATGAATACATTGTAACTACAAATTATGACCACATACTTTGCTCTCACCTAATTCACAAAACTTCTCAGGCAGGTAAGGCCTGCACTGCTTATTCAAACATGGGAATATAAACTGCAGCTAGCGATATGCCTTTTCAAGATGTCTGTAGAATGGCTCTAGACTATATAGCTTAAGACCGCTATCACTCTGGATACGTATGTTAAGCTGCTCTCGATGGTCATCGCGTTAGATCTGCAGTGTTGCTAGGCTTAAAAGCCAAGATTTAAGGCTAGAACAAGCTCTGTTTTCTGACCACCTCTGTACAGTGTTCGATACACGTTTGAATGGTTCACAACACTGATATAAAACCTCAGCATAACTTGGAGTAATTTGATTAAGCAGATCTGAATATTATCAAAAGTGTTAAGATTTAGGTGTTGTTACCTAGGTAGGAATAGAGAGAAACTAAAGCTGAGAAAAGGACAGGATGCCTCCTACAGCAGCAACTGACCTGCTCTTCCTAAGTAAGGTACAGGGAGCCAGCAGTCACTCCACTCTAAAACCTGCCTTCTAGAAACTCTTTAAAGGAGCAGAATAGCTGAAAAGGAAAGGGCATTTTGGCTCAGAGCAGTAACGGTGTTTTTAAGCAAATTTCCTGATTGGGATATATTGTTGTGGAAAAATATTGTGCTTGAAGTGTCACTAACGCTCTGGCTAGGGGTAGGGGAAAAGTGATCTGTCATTGAGTTGTTTCCTCTGTAAAACTACATTCAGAAAAAAATATGACTGCAAAACTGTTTACTGAATTATAGAGTGAATATATATTTAACAGTAACACCTATGTGATCTCTTCAGATCAGAGAAATTTCAACTGTCTGGAAAATACCTAATGCATGCTACACTGCATAATACTGTGTATAAACAAAATAAACTGTGCACACTGAAATATGCATATAGGCAGGATCATATTTTCTTTTGCTAAGTAATTCACCTACACTGTTCCACAATAAGCTGTCTTAAGGTCACCATATATCTACAGGGTTATTTTGGTCCCATCCCACATCCATCTGTCCCCCCTCCTCCTTCATATGCAGATATGTCAGCAAAAATACCAGTCCTACATCTGTTTTACAAAGGGCCCCTGGAAGTAACAGAGAGCTATTCTCCCTGTTGCCTCCATTAAACTAAATAGCTTTATATTCAAGCCAAAAACATTTCTGTGCAAACAAAAATAGTAGTGGCCAGTAAATAACCTTTGCATTAAATGTATTTTACAAATAGTGTTTCTTCAAACAAGTTGTTCATTTCCGTGACTCCCCTTTGAGTTAGTAAAATTAATGTTCCAATGCCAGAACGTGTGTCACGTAAAGCTTCAGGGTAGCAAGTTATATTGGAGAGCATCGAAGTCATTAATAACCTATTTTGTGCTTTCACATTAAGAACAGTATCCTCCAGTAATCTCTGAAGCCAACAATCTGTGCCTTTCTCTGGAAGGTCAGTTTGTTTATAAGAAAAATCTCCTCTGCACTACAGAACTCTATCTTTGTTTCCAGCTAGTCTGAGCAGCAATTTGGATAGGCTGGAACAATACAGAGCTTCATCACTTCAACCAACCTGTTTCAGGCAGTTACACAGCTATGTAGTACTCTTTGCCCAACACAACAGTACCTATCCCCTAATTCTGAACACAGCGGCTCACACACTTCCCTGCCAGTTTTCCTTATGAAGGTTAAAGATGAAATGTAAGCCATCATGTTACAGAACTCTTCCCTAGACTGCAAAGCCTTAACCAGAAAGGCGAAAAACAATATACCAATTATTGGATTGTCAGAACTACCATTGCCACTAATTAAGAAACCCCACAATACACCACCCATACTAATTAAACTCTCTCAAGAATTGGGAAAGATAAGTATTAGCAATGATGCCATACCACAGCAGACATTTTGTGGGCACAAGGCTGAAGAACACTGTCACACTTCAATTCTTTCCAGTACAAGTAAATAAAAACACAATCTCCTGTATCTGTTCTCAGACTGTGGTCTTTCATTCACAATCCTGTTAGTTTGACCTCTACCACATCCTTTGCAGTACCTGCCTTCTGGTACTGGAAAGGCGATATCTGGTGATAACTCTTCGCTTTCTCTTCTCCAAGCATTCAAGTGCTCTTCACTGAGTGTTATACACTGTAGATTCTCTTTGGGGAAAAGCTTTGTTTTTCCTCAGTGCATAACTTCAAATAGAAGATTTAAGGAGCATACCTGAGCCTTGTAGAGACTTCACCTTCCTCTTGAGCAACCCATCCCACATCTGCAAAGGAGGCCACGGCATCTTCTCTGAGTTGATTAGGATAGTTCCCTTCTGTGGCATGAGAAGTAAGCTAAATTTTAAAGATAAGATTGAAGGTTTTAGAGTCAGTTTTCCTAACTCATTTCACAGTTTATTTCACTTAGCACAATAGACTAATATTTTTAACGAGGCTGGATGCAACTCTTATACGGACATGCATGAAACACCTGTAGATTTAGCACATTTGTTATTGTCCTGAGCTTGGACCAAAACCTATTTCACTGACAAATTATTGCCCTCTTTCACTCTAGTCTGCTGGACACTTCACAGAAGCTATTTTTAAGGTTCATGGCTAGCTACCTATACTACCACATGAAGTTATTGAACGCTGTAAATCCAAAGCAAATTGTTACATTAAAGATAAGCAAACGTCAACATTCATAAGTAGTGAGCTACATTAACTCAAATAACATGTTTTGTTTTATGGTACTCACAACCAGTATTTACAAAAAGACAACCATTAGGGCTACTACTCCTCCTCAAGTGTTATAATCTGATTTAGTACATTATTTTGAGAGTGAAGTTCTGTTGAAGTGTGTTTCTCTTCCCATACAACTTTCAGAATTTCTGTACAAGAATAAAGCTGTGCCCATTACAAGAAAAAAAAAACAAAAAACCAAAAAAACACCACTGGTACTACCTCAATAATTACAAGGATTTTGAGTGAGAGGTAGGATGCAACCCCAAGGGAATACACTATCCATTAACAATCTCCTTTGCTGCATGCTGAAAAAACTGACCGTTTTCCAATATGGTTCTGCCATTAGCTTTTAAGTTATTTGGAGCCAAAGGTGAGCAAGGCTCCAGAACTTCTCTTACATTTACAATTAAGCAACCTGAATGCAGATTTCAAAAAATTGTTTAAGCCATCAATGTTTGCTCTATAACCATAATTACACAAAATGGTTACAAATATACTTTGAAATACTGGCTGCCTCCCCAAGTTAGAGAAGGGCACGCGTACTCAGTCACTGGACTGCTGATCACCCTGGTCTCAGTATCTTAGCAAATAACAACTACTGAAATATCTTTTGGTAATTTCTTCTGCTCAGTCTGTTGCCCTGAGTTATTCATCTCCAGTGCAACTATGCCACCTCTTTTGCTTGTATTACATATACACCCGAATGCAAAATTGGTGCATGAATTATGCAAAGATTTGTACCTACCTGCTGCTGTTAGGGGCTTAGAAATGAGTAATACAGGCAAAACTAGTGATATTATATACTGGCCTTATAAGAAGGCCCTGATCCATTTTGCTAGCACTTAGATCAATTTCAAGGCAATTGACCTCTTAAGAGGAAACTAACATAGCAGCAACTACAAAATCTTAGCATTAACCTAAATTTGTAGCAGACCTAGCACAACAAGATTACAGTCTTGATTGGATAAAACCATTTCTGAAGAGCATTCATAGGTATTTTAGCTATAGCCTTTGCTACAAGAACACTAAGAAGATAAAAGTGGTGGGTCTGGGTTTTTTTCCCCAGGAGTTTTTAAAAACAGCTTTGGAAATTGAGATTAGTCATCTTCACCTTACACTCTCACAACTTCTGTGTGCGCCTTTATCACAGCTCCCAGGAGTGCATATTGGCACCGGAAGATCATTTGGAAACAACAAGGTTTTTTCCAGGTAGCATCAGCACAGATGGCAATATGTTTATCGCATTAACAGTTGTGCCTAATACCATAACAGTCTGCCTCTCTTTAAAACAGTCTAGAGAATACTATATTGCATGTTAAAATTTTCATTGTTTGATGTTTCCTTTGATTTTTTCTTTTTTAAAAAAATCAAAAAAAAATTTAATGATCACAGCATCTGTATTAACAGTGATAAAACAATATATCATACATTAGCCACTTTTTGCAGATGATAGATTCTCTTGATGATAATGGACATACTGGGGACTAAATGGGGACATACTGGGGACATAAAAAAATTGAAGGCATATTTAAATGAAGGTACTACCTGTACTTGCATCAAAAATCATTTTATAAGTCTACACTAAAGAATGCATTTACCACTGCAAGGTTTTCTGCATTATGAGTTAAATAGCTTCTAATCCAACATTTAGTAGGAAGCGTTCTGTTATATTGTGATGCATGTTTCCTCTTACTTTTTAAACTCATATTTGCTTGTTACCCATATTCAGATGTTTCTTTTGTCTAACTATACCTAAAAATCAGAATGCCTTCCACAGTAGTAGATTTAGAATTCCAAGATGTGCCAAGATTTTACTTGATTTTAAACATTAAAAGTCAATGCCCATCTAAAATCTTTGCTTGCCTGTAGAAGAATGTTTAAACAACCCTGTTGACTGCTCTATTCCTCCAGCCTTTCCTGGCTGAAGGACAGTTGGACAGTTGCTCTGCCAGCACCTGAAATGGTGAACAGAGCTGAAACCTGGGAAGGGATCAGGCTTTAAAGTGATGGTTGCCATTAAGAGACCCAATTCTATTAAACAATCAATTGCATGAGTTCAAGCAGTGAAAGCAACTTGCTTCTCCTTCCTCTGAAAACTATGTAGTTGCCTCCCCCTGCCTTTCATAGGCTTTTTTGCCTATTTTAGCATATATATGTGTGTGTATAAACATGCACACACACACACACACACTCCTGTGCATTTCACATCCATTATTCCAGGAACTTCCAGAGAAGAAACTACACACCTTGTACCATTTTGGGTGCTGTCAAAGCAGGACCTCTACTTTTTGTTTTCTCCAGGACTTGGAACATAGAACAAGTATTTTTGTAAGCGTAAGGATAGAATAAAACCCCTAATTTCAGGTTACTGGCACACTCAGGCATTAAACATTTGAAAATACTTCTTCAAGTAAGACAAAGTTGCTATGATTTTTCAAGTTATCTCAGTAAACTCTGATGTTTCCTTCATTCAGATCAATCCCTTAGGAGACTCTTGTATTCCATTACAGAGTTTTGCATCAAACAAGCAGGAGGGGTGCAGGACTACAGCAGCGATGCCACAGTTGCAGCACACTGGATTAGTAGCATGGGAGGAAGACAACTCCTACCTTGTGAGATAGGTTGGTTGAATATAACTTCGCTACAGTTATAAGTTCAACTTTTTTTTTTCTCCTAAAGACTATAGATAAACCTACAAATATAACATAAAAGCGAAACTTATGAACCATTTTCATGCGCCCATGCCATATAGAGTATTTAAGGTAAGTTCTGCCACTGGTTACTGAATGCATTAGCAGCATTTATCAATTCATTTAAATGTGGACTGTGACAAAATCCTCAGAGACAGATATTACAACAGTCAGTAGACCTCAAAAAATCAGAATGTCTTGCTACTACTCTATTTTTAGACTATCAGAATAAAAGCATGCTAGAAGAGAAGGAAGAACGAACGTAACAGAGAGATTCTGTTAATATCTCCTATGTATTTATCATAAGCAAAATGAAGGCCTCTAGAAAGTTTGTTGTTCTTAGATGAAGTTAGAAACACTGGTGATATACATGCACCCTCACATGAGGCAAGTAAGTTTTGGTTTGGTTTTTAAGTAAAGTAACTTACAGCAAGGTTCAGTGCATGGTCCTTTCATACTATAGCTAAAGCTGGCAAGAAAGAAAAAGGAAGAGACAGCTATAGGAAAGTGTCAGTTGCAACAGCATAAAAACAGTCAAGATTGGTATTGAACTTCACTACAAATCTTAACACTGAGATAAAGACATAAAAAGCAGATATCAGCATCACACTTTTTCATGTTTAGCAGTTCATAAATTAAAAGTTTAAAGCCTGCATAAATCATAAAAGCTTTAATGTGTCTAAAGGCTCAGTTTTGTAATACTTCAAATTTAATCAACCATGACAAGCTGTACTTCTATTTTTAGAATCCATTCCTTTCATCTAATAGGAGATCAACGTTTATACATTGCATAAAATCTAAGCAAAGTTGACAGAATGCCTCTAGGAGGAAAAAAGGCAAGTATCCTGTTTGTTCTAACACAGAATTCAGATGAACATACATACTTTTTTTATCTGAACATTAAAAATATTCAGGGAAAAGTTTCTCAAACAGCTCTCTGCAAGTACATAAAACAGCAGTATCTTCTGAATACTATGTTTTAAAAGAGGGCATTATTTTACTAATTATTTGCAAACGAACATCATCTTCCTTTGTATGGCCTTTATAGTAGGGAAATCAGACACATCATAGGAGGACCTCACTTTCTTTCAAATACGAGGCAAATGAAGCCATACTCTTAGCATAATTACTATTAAGTATACACCCAAAAGTTCAAGTACAGCATGCCATTTTGTTCTCCCTTCCACCTGCACAAATGCCTCCCCCCCATTTATATATTTATTTAAGTTTCACAGAGTCACTACCAGTGAAAGATGCTTGGTCGCTTAGAGTCTCAGTGTGAGCACGGCTTTTTACTACCACACGAGAACGGCTTCTACAGTAATCTGAACTATCTGATTTTGTACTGCAATCTCAAATACAAATATTGTTATACATTTTTCATAGGTTAAAGAAATAAATTGAAATATTGAAAATTTTACCTACGTAGAAATTAACTTGTCTTAGTGTGGATGGAGAAACGATTCCCACCATTTGGCTTTATTTTCTCCTCCCTTAATTAACCCAAGAAGCATTCCTCTCAGCTTGCATTTCAAGTACTAAATTTCTCCATTTCTACAGTCCCTATCCACAGCATACACAGAGCTGAAGAAGGCATGTGTAACAGTTTCCACTTTCCCATCTGTTCCTGAAAGACTTGTTATAAAGAACAAGGGTTTTTCCTTCCCTTTAAGTCTTTACCCTCACTCTTTACCCTCCCACTACATGCAGTCAAAGTTAGAAGAAAACAAGTTGCAAAGCTGCACAGAATTGATATTCCACTTTCACCTAGTCAGTGCTAGCCTTATACTTAAAAAAAAAAAAGCAAACAGGGAACTCACGTTATCTTGTAAATAATTTTTACTTTCAGATAAAGTTGTTTATTTTCCCAAACATTTTTAAGTAACACTGTTCATCTTTACATGCCTCTTAAGCCTAGTTTATAAGTACTGTTTTTAAAAACATGTTTCAGATGTTTCTCTTTCTTTAAGGGCAGGATTTTTTTCCTACTATAACAACTTTTTAATACTGTATTGTGTCATTTTAGAAGTTAATTTCTTCAGTTAATTTCTTCAGGATAAAATTTTGTTTCAGGTTTCATTACGTGTGTAGTAACAACATGGAAGAATCCAGATGTGGAAAAAAACGTGAACTGGAACGAGGTAAACTAATTTTTCTTATGTGCCAAATGTATCATTTTCTCCTTTTTAAGAACCCTCCAGTCAATTTTTAAAAATGTACTGAAGATTTGCTTAAAGTCTTCTGATGCAAAAGCAATTCTCATTAATCAGTATAGTGAAACATGTATTCCAAACTGTTGAGAATACCTACCTGAAACTGAACTCTTGGACACTGGATAAGAGAAAGGTTACTACCAATTTTTCTTACAATACTTCGAGATGAACCATAAGGCTTGCTTGACCAAAGCACCTAGATGGGAAGGAAGAAAAAAAAAAAAGTCACTTGTTACGCAATTTATTTCATATTCTATAGGATTAATTTTTATTTTTCCTTCCATACAACACTTGAGCTAAAGTTATGCATGATTGAAAATGCTTTTTTTTCAGTGGGGATTAGATGCACCTTCCTTTGTTGCACTTAAAGACAGGAATTTTTGCTGTACTATTTATCAGACTAATCCTAGGAGAATAGTAGGAAATGAGCCAGAATAGAAGCCAGAAGAAGAGAGCCGTACAAGCAGGAAAGATTTCAGCAGAGAGAAAGGGAACAGGAACAACATAAGAAAGAATAAAGAAGGATAGGAAGAGCACAGCACTACTAACAGAGTATATGGCTAATAAACAGTTAGAACACTGTTTAGTGATTTTAAACATTTGAACAGTGTTTACTTATGGCTATAAATTGAATCTACTACTCAGATCTTAGTTTTTAAAGGCTCATAGCTTCAAGCAAACTCAACATCCTGTTAGAAGGTTGCCCAATAAAGAAAAGCTAGAGCAAGTCCAGTCTATTAATACTAAAACCACCCTTACAGGTAATGGCTATGTTCCCTGTGTGATTAGTGTAATGCAGCTGTGGGCATTTCACAACAGCTGAATAACATTTTGATATAGTAAGCAAAGACCACTACTCTTGTATTTTGACAGTTCTATTAAGAAGAATGGTATTTATCCCCAGATTATATTAGCTCAGAAACTTCATGCAAACATCTTGTCTGGTTCTATACTCAAGTATCTCTCCTTCCTCTGACTTTAATGGAATATATAAATTGTGCATATTCTGCATTGCATTCCCATATCTGAGCTGCAGCTTTGCCAGTTCCCCACTCAGACTCAGTCTGTCCACTATATGAAATGTACCTCCCCTCATGATTAACATGAGCTAATTTTTAATGCAATTTTAGGAATGTATTCTACTGGTACTATGTGATGGACTACTCAAACAAAGACCTCACGTTTATGACTATCATGTTACTGTTTGTCTATATGTCTGAACAAAAAGCACACAGATCAGGAGCCCTCAAGAATGAATCACTGGCAAATAGTACCACAGGAATGTAATCTCACTATTTACAATAGATAACAAAGTCAGAAGCAAAACTGTTGAAAATAGCCCCAAAGTGATGTTGCACTGGGGAAAAAAAAAAAAGCATTCATCAAGGGAAGGCTTGGTAAGTTACATAAGAACTTTCAGAAGTACTTAGCAGAAGAGCCTACACTACAGGCTGTATGACCAACATAAGTGCAGTGTACTTCAAGCAATTGGTTAAACTTGTTTACAGATTGTTCAAATGATAGGAAGAGATGTTGACTAGGTCCCAGATCCTCAAAAACGTTTGGCGCCCAAATGCCATGGAGGTTTTTCAACAAATGGTGGTTTGGTACACCAACACTTTTAATGACTTACTTTTGTTAATTCAAGATATACCTTGACAGTATTTTCAGAAAAATGCATGCAAGCTGTGCCAGAAGGTATGTAGATAAAGTCAGCACATTGCTCAGCTAAGGTAGTAAGGCTCAGCAGTGCTCTACCCATGCTCACGCAACTTCTCGTTGACTAGAAGCACTGGCAGAGCAAGTTTACAAAATATTAGTCATACCCTCTTGTTGCATCAGTACTTTGCTGTGCTCCAGAACAGCTGACACTTAGGAATGTAATTGCATTGACACAAGCTTGATACAAGTGTGTGGGTGGGGGGGTGTAAAAGAGATTAAAGTGTTTTTTTGCCCCCCTATTTAGATTGTAACATGTTGCTGAAAATGACCAGGCCAACACCCATGGTAGTCCAGCCTATTTGATGCTTTGAATTTTCAAATTTATACTGCATGGAACCTCAGGTCCAAGTTCTAATAAAATTCTAAAATACTGATTCTTATTGGTCATTGTAACTTACGAGGTATGTTAGTTTTGCTATCTATAAATGTCTGAGAATAATACAAGCTTCTACCACTATCATCAGAATCAGAACCATCTTTGTAAGGGGTTTAAGTACTGCAAGTAGCTGGTAAGCAATTCCACATTATTAAAACACTAGACTATACCAAAATCTTATAGAGACTACTGCACTCAGGCCAATACTTCTGCTGAAAATAGCTCTCTAAAGGACCCAGTGACATAGCAGTTGCTTTGCAACAGATCTTTCTCTTTACCACTTCCTCTTTCTCTCTGCCAAGCACTGAAAGAAAACGTACACATCTTCCTCCAAGAGGAGAGCTATGCATGTGCATTCCTCTGTTTCCCCAATAAAGGGCACAGCCATGTTGCTCTCATGCGCCATACCACTTTCAGGAAAAGAGGTAAATGTTGCAGACTATCATTATCTCAGTTTCATCTGGCTTTTTATAACTTCAAGACAGGAGCAAAGAAGTAAAAGTGTTAAAGAATTAATGTCACTGTCAAAAGTCAATTGAAAATTTTATTTTTCCCAGCATGAAAGCACTGCTTACACTGCAACTATAAAGATACTTCAGCGTCCAAGCAGTAAACGTCATACGTTTTAGTTTCTGCTCATCCATTCTAGCAGAGCACTTTAAATACTTGATGCTGATATGATTCTGAAATGCTGAAAAAGTATCAAGTGCTTTCTTATACTTGACTTCCTGAAAAAAATGAAGCAAGTCTGAAACACTTACTGAGTCCATGTTTAATCCAACTTGTTCAAAAGCCATCCTAATTAAGCGCTTAACCCAGCAAATCATCTGGAATGGAAAAAGCCTTTGCAAGCTTGGATTTAAGCCGTCCGGACCTACAGAGCTGCAGAGGTTCCATAGTCCTTCTGAAATGAGAAATGTAAACATTTTAGAAGCCTGTCTTGGAACATATACAGAAGTAAATTGGTACATGCATTCCAAAAACAAGCTTTAGAAACAGTTACTGAAAACAAGACACTTGCAGAGACAACAGTTCCTAGTCCTGCAAAGCATAGGAATCCAGTAGCCATTTGTTCAGCACAGGCTCTAGAGTTTTTTAGTAGTATCATTTTTAAGAAATCAAAACTGTTGCAAAGTTAATTGATGAAAGAGCTGCGGATATAACCTCTCACTTGAGCTCGAATAGACAATGGTCTTCAACAACTGTAAGTAAGCAAAGAACGCTATGGAATGCCTGCAACCGGGGACTAACACTAAGATTAAAGGGCCATACTCATCTAAAACTCTTTTCTATGCAGCAAACAGCTACAGAAAACAGATCGTCTCTCTTCATCCACGTTCTCTGACAGCTTTGTTTCCTCCATTTTCCCACAACTAAGGAGAGAAAGGAAACACGGAAAAATGACTAATGCAAGAAAACAACAGGAAACAGTATAGATGTGGGACCTTAAGATATTCAAGCAATTTATAAAGTTGGCCAGATTTCAGATTGCGTCTATTTAAATGTACTACCGTTCACTTAAATCAAGATGTTTTTACTGCTCCTCTAGTGAAAATTGTTTTTTTAAATTTGTTTTACACTGGATATAACCTGGATGTCATTAAGAAGGCTAGGCTACCAAAAACAAAACACAAGCCATATATTTAGGTTCATATTTGTTTTGTGTATCAGACTAGAAACAAAACTGCGTGGAACCAGCCTGAATAACAAATTTGTAGCATGAACAACAGTGTTGCAAAGCCACTGCATAATGACGACTAAAGCAATGCAAGAGCAAGAAGCTGATACTTAGAAGTTTGAAAGTCAGGAGCTGGAAAAGTTATGCAGGATGAAAGTGTTCGCAAACATTAGTTAAATGATCACTATTTCCATCACAAGCTTTTTTTTTTTTTTTTTTTTAAAAACAGTTTACAATTCCTTAGGTAACAACCTACTTCTGGTGGAAACTTGGCAGGAACGGCGCAACTGTACAGATACCTTTTTCTAGACTTTTTTTTTTTTTTTTTACACTGCATGAAGAAAGATATAACTAATAGGATTTGTTTTTGTTTCCTAAAGAAACTAGGACACTAATCTGTCAGCTATATGAGAACCAAAGAGAAGAAAAGTGATTAAAGAAACAAAAGCCAACCTCCCTTCGCAAGATTAGAATGGAAACTGCAATTGTCATGAGAAAAAATAACAGGAAAAGACAACGTGCCACCTATCAAACAACTATTAACAAAAGGTGCAGTCATACAAAATAAACAAAAAGCTAAGTCATGGACTACCAAAAGCTGGAAATATCTATTAAGGAAGCATTACCATCTACTTGTTCTATTCTTCCTTTAGGCATCCACTACTCTTCCCTTAAACATGCTACTGGACTAGATGGATCTTTAATCACATTTCACCTTTCAGTTTTTAAAATAGGAAGAACAGAACTCCTTATATGCCCGAAATTAGATTTGGCATCATATTTGGCGTTGTAGAGATATACCAACATAAGAGACAACAGAAATACTATTTTAGAAGGGAAAACCTGCTCAAGAAGTGTGCTGCATGTGAGGTACCCTGTCTTACTGCAAAATTTAAACTTGTTGAACATGCACTGTGGAAATCAAAGAAAAGAAGAATGGAAGCAGTGTAAAAACACTGAAACAAAAGAGGAGAAAAATAGAGAAGGTACTTCTGAGTAATTGATAGGATAGGCCTGGCTGATAATGCAAAGTGATGGGAATATAAAGAGATGACAATCCGCATCTTCACATCTTGCTCTGTCAAGAGATAACCAGGTCAAAGTCCCCAAAATGTAGTCAGGGTCATATTTTGTTTCGGAAATATGAAGAAAAAAATTGATTGATTATTTTGATTCTGATCAGCTGGATGGAGTAAGTCTTTAAAGACAGAAGATAATGAAGAAGAAAGTAAAAAGAGAGTGAAAAGAAGAGTACAGAACTTCCTCCGAGGAAAGCAGAACAAGTCCAGAAAGTTACTGTGAATTCAAGAAACTGAGCAGTAAAGCGGTAAAGGAATGATACAAAAACTGATAAGATAACCTATTTTAAAAGCACACCAGCAAATGCAAAGAAAGGTAGGAAGTAAAGTTAACATTAGAAGAACAGAACAGGATGAATATGAAACAGTAATTAAAAGGCTAAGGCACAAAATGGGTTTGAGGTAAAACAGATACCAAAACAAACACACAAACACACCCCCTCCCCAACAAAAGAACAACAAAAAAAGCCAAACTACAAATGCACTAGAACTAAGTAGAAGACAAGAGATATAACCATTAACTAACAGGGAAGGAGAGAAAATAATGATTGAGACAATTACAACAGGTTATAGAAAACTGTGATAATCTATAAGCATTCAAGATGACAGAGTCTAATGAAATTCACCCTGAACAGCTCAAAAATTAGCCAAAGCAACTTCTGAAATATTAGTAATTACTTTTAGAAACTTGCAAAAGATCATGAGATGAAGAAGACCCAGGAATAAGAGAAGCAGCATGACTGCACAAAGCACCAAGAATAGTCCAAAATACTTATCCTGCCCTAAAACATTTTGGCAACCACTTATAGTTCCAGGTTCCAAGATTTCAATGACTGAACACAAAAAAACACTCATTCTACAGAACAATTACTGAAATAACATGATATTTACAGTTCAGATTATAAAAATCGTTTTTTTCAGAAACCTAAATACTTAAGGTACCTAAGGCTGCAGTCATCAATTCCTTGCTCTTGCCAATAACCAGCTGTCTGGTTGAAGAAAATGCAGAAGTCTATCCATAACAGCGCAGAGTACCAATCACTTCCTAGATATCAGTATGACAAGTAAGGAAAACCAACGTGTTTCAATAACCTCTAGCTAAGCTGTCATCTAAACGGAGATCTAAAAGGAGAACACTTCTAAGTATATCACCTTGATGTTTTTATGAGGCCTAATTTTCCAGAATTATCCCTAGACAAACTCGATACTCATTTCTCCCAGACACTATTGCACTACACCTTTCGTCATAAATCTTGATTACTTCACAATCATTCTATGTGCCTAGAACACAAAGGGTTCGTTCCAAACGAAACTGTTGGACAGCAAGAATGAAAACATTAGCAAATTTTTCTCTCATGCTTTCTGTAGATGCTAATTTCAGAAGTGGGAATGAAACACTTGTTACTTTTACTAACCTGGAATAAAATCTCATTTCCAAAATTGATGCTTGCTTTATTTATCATTCATCTTACTGCTCGTACCTAAACTAAAAATAACAGTAGTTTCATTCCCATACAGCTTCCACAACTCACTCACTACAATAAAATGCCCTAAGTGGTACTAATATTACTATAAAATACAGTATTTCCACTGTGCTTAAGTAAAACTCTGGAAGCGAGGAGCAGCAGTCACAGGCAAGATTCCCAAAAGAAGCCAGAAGAGTAATAGTACAGAGAATCACATTTCACCGCATAAAGCAGTCTGAGGTAGGAATTTCATGGGTTCTTCATTCACGAAACTCTACTTACCCAGAAATTAACAATTCCTGATAATTTTATGTGTGATATGGAAATGTGCAGGAATTCCATCGTTCAGAAATTAAGGTGCCTGCATTTTTGAGTGCTGGGGTTCTCACTGCAGCCTTCTTGAACTCTCTTTTGCCCCCATTTTCCACAACCACCTTTGCAGGTGCCATTCAATGCTTTCATATCAGATATCAATCCACAGATCTGAGAGATAATACCACTTATAAATTATAAAATGCTAATGAAATAAATATAAAGGCTCTGGAGAACACACATAAAGCATACTAGTCAGTAAATATGAAATGGAACCCTTAGTCAGCCTCTCAAGTGAGTGCTACACATGAAAGATGAGAAGAAACAAAATGAGATGCATCTGTTTTCAAACTGGCATCCTTCTATGTGTTTATGTGAAATCCATTTCAAATTACGAGTTCTGTCTCAAAAAGAAGTATAATATTCATATTTTTCTTACTAAAGGAAGTTTTTTCCTCTCATTTATGCAAAACCCACAGGAAAATAAAAGAAAATTATTTATGGGCTTGATGCAGAGCAGCCTTACGCAAAAAATACACAAATGCACGAAACCTGAAAAATGAAAGGTCTAGCATCTAAACTGAAAGGTATGTATAACTCTAGTAGGTACAAAGCTTTTGAAGAAGTATGGTTCCAAAGGGATACTAAACACTTAAAAATATCATGTAAACAGGGCATGCATGTCTTCATGCTCTTTAATACTGCCCCAAGTTCATCTAATTAAATTATATTCATAAGGACATATATGAAAGAATTAATAAGGAAAGATAAAAGTGAACAAAAAATTATCACAGCAGTAGCAAACCAAGCAGGCAGGAAGAATCTTCTGATAAAGGACTAGACCCTCTTCCACATCAACACTGACCATTTATAAGCAATGTGACTATTTGGCAGAGATCACACAGCCACTATACAGAAGCCTGCTTTTTTTCTTGGAACTGCAAATTATTAAGTGCCCTTCTACTTTCAGGTATAGCTGCCTGGAAAGATACAACAAGACAGATAAAAGCCAGTGATTACTACAGAAACAACTGGGGGTGTATTTAAGCTTTCAGTATGAAATCTAAGGCAAGAATTGAAAATAATACATATCATCCATACAATTTTTTAAAACTTTTGTTAAACATATTACCTAGTCACATATAGCTCCAAGCGCAAAAGCAACACATTAACCATATCTTGCCAGCTAACGATGGTGAGAAAAAAGAAAAATCATGTTTGAGCATTAGTTTAATCAAAAGCCTTTGCTCAACAGAGATGACATCGTTCACATCTACATGCTACAATACAATATTGTGTAGAGGTAAGTGAGCCACTTCAACATCTCTAAACCATACAGTATTACACTACACAGACATACTCAACACCCATTCTTTCCTGATGGAGTTCCCTAGTCAGACCTGTCTGTGAACTCCAGTCCCCCCATATGCCTTTTGAGAACAACAGAATGTAATTTTTTTTTAAACAAAAAAGCATTTCTGAAAGAACATTTAAAACGTTCCCTGCTTTTCCCCCAAAATCTTAGAAGTGACTTTGAATTCCTACACAAAGCAACGAGATTCCAACTATTGACCTCTATGAAAAAATGATTTTGATTCAGCAAGTTAACTGGAAGTTTTAGAGCTGATGTGCAGAAATCTCAGCTCCTTTCTTTTTTCTTTTTCACCTAGGTAAAGTGTATATCAGAAGATAGAATTATTTCCTTTACTCTTGATAAACCTTGTCCACGTAATAGGTGTAATGCTATGTGCGAGGGCAGATGTCAATATTCAGTCAAACTCTACTTACGCTTGCTATTTGGAAACTTGACAGCTTGTTAAACAAAATAAAAATCTAGCGAGTGACCTATGACTGCCACAGGAGAATATCAACGATATCAGCAAAGGAATACAAACTAAGCCTCAGATGTTTACTGAAAGGGGAACTGAGCACCAGACCTCATACGATTAGGCTCCTTTTCTATGTGCTACCTCCTTCAAATTCTCCTAAAAAAACCACACACACACACACACACACAAACCTTCCCTGAAACTTCCCAGTGTCACCTCCGGATTATTTTTCTTTTGCATGATTTCCTCTGAGCCGTAACTCCCACCAGCGCAACGCAAGAGGGTT